AGAATCGACGCGACCGCATTTGCTGTTGTCAGCTGCATTTTATTTTGATTCTAATGAACTAAATTCTCTGAAATATGAAAGAACCAATGAATTTATTAATGAAATAAATTTAATTCGTTTTATTTTAATTCAATTAGCTGTGACTTTACGGGTACTAGATCCGTAAAGTCACAATTAAGTGTAAAAAAAAAATAAGCCGCCGTGAGACGCCTGGCAGATGTGAAACATCGAATTTATGTTGTGCAGATAATATGCGTAAAAGGATATTTTTTTTAAAGAAACTAAATATGGCATAATCAAAAATAAAATAAAAAATTTCAGGAAAAGATAATTATTTATTTAATTCAAATTGAAATGTCTTTATTCAACATAGGAGAGTTACACTCGTTTATTGATAGTCAAAATACTGGTTCGGAAAAGAAAGCCACTGAACTGAGAAGAACCGGCGAAAGAAACTAACTATTGTATGAAACTAATAAACATTGATATTAATTTCATACAAAATTTATAAATTCAATACTTTTTACTTTGTCTGTAGGAAAACTTTTGACTAAATCAAAGTTTTCCGACTTTTCATTTTCCTAACAATCTATACATTACATGTACAATACAAAATCCAGTTTTATGTATAAAGTTATTCTACAAGTATCCTGTAATAACTTTTACAGTCAAATACTATATGTATATATACAATATCAATATATCGTATTACAATCTGTAGAATTTCAACCGCACGAGGACCACAGTACTGTCGTAGGCATTTAAAAGTATCGCGTCACGAAAACAATACGTAAGTAAATAACGCAGGGGTCAAGTTATCGTTTCAAGTTACCTGCTCGTACATTATTCTCGGCCCTATTCATGTTGTGTTAAAAAAAAACATGGTGAACGAAACACGTAAGCACATAGACAGCCTGACTCCTTTTGTTTGAGACGCACCCTAGCCTTGCGGGGGCTCGAAAACCTGTTTTCGATTACTTATAACCAGACAACAAAAGCTTTGAATCGCTTCGTCGACGTGCTCTTTGCGATGCTACCCGCTCTTGTTATCGTAACGAAGTGCGCAGCGAGAAAAAAAATTGAATTGCATCAGCTATATTGAAAAATTGCAACCTTATCGCAGCCCAACAGTTAACTGTTTACTGCATATGCTGTAAAATCTTACTCGATTTATAACAAAGTTTGAATAGTTAATTATACTTATATATCCAATCATTTATTCCAAAGTTAAAAAGTTAAAAATAACTTCCCAACAAGAGAATGGTCTTTGTGTGGCTAGGATATTTAAAAACATGAAATCATCAACAGTAACTAAACTCAGACTAGGAGTTTTGGATACTCAGAACTTTATTTGTGAAGCGCACAATTTTAGTCCCACTCAACAATGCGTTTTGGCTGTTGGCGAGCTGACCAGTTTAATCACTAAGCCAACCATGCAATCAAAAGTCAAGCAGTTGAATGGGTTTGTATTTTACGCTTTATTCTACACTTTAGTTACCGTTTCCTCTCCACGGCCTGCATATGTTAGATTTTTACTGCAATTATTCAATCCATGCCCGCTATTAAAAAGTTTCACTCTTCGTTAATTATCGCAATTTTTTATCTAATTGATGGTTGGTTTCGGATCGAATATGAAGTAGAAACGAATTAAATCTGTTAGTTATGGCAACTGGTGATAATAAATGATCACGTAAAATAGGGATTATTTCTGATATTTGCGCGTTTACAGACTGCAGAACGTCCTATCTGAACATTTACCAATACTTAATGAAAATGTATACATTAGTATACTATATGTTAACCACTCCATATTTTAAATACTTCAGTCTTCGTCGATGTTGCTTTGTTGAAGACAGAAAGTTTTTGAAGACGGCCTCTGTACAATATTAATATACTGTGAACGTAAGAATTAAACTTCAAAAACTGCTTAGCCGTTCGGTCGTAATAAAAATCACGTTGAATGTCAAGAGTACGACGTGTTGCACGCAAGACTAAACTTGCGTCCGATTACTTCCTAGCAATTTCGCTTCCTAACTGTATCGTCTGTGATGTTGAAGATCTTTTTTTTTTCCCATTACAATTATTTTATCCTGTTCCAATTTACCCTTTAATTTTTCCAGTATATATGTGTTACATGTTACATGTTTTTATGGGTCATTGTCATCTTTATTAAATTGTAATAATGACCGTTTCATTATCCTTGAATAATAATTTGAATTATTTCACAAGTAATGAGTGTTCAAATAACTGCCTTCGGTCGCATCAATGATATGGGTGGTTAGTACATTAAGTACTTTCTGATGAAAAACGAACGAAGACTACTATGCAGATGTCCAAAACTGGCATAAAAACTGTAATATTTTCGAAATATTTGTAAAAGTTTTAGTAAAAATATTATAATATTGATATTCAGCTATAACTTCATAGCTTCCTTCTAATTTTTAAAATTAGTCTCTAAGACGATTGTGTTATATATGAAATTAATAATATTCTTATAGCAATTTATTTACATTTAAAATATAAATAAAAATGTTAATTACATTTTCATTTTTAATGTCAGCAAATATTGTTACCATGTATTTTTGTTTTACTTTTCAACACTAAAATATCGTTTTGCCTAAATATACATTTATTACCTTTATTTTATATTACAAACAAAAAAAAGATAAGTGAATAAATACTTAAGCGTAAAATTGAAACTAAACTCATCATCGACTTTTATTAATGATGTAATTTGTAATTTTAAAATGATGAAAATTTGATTGAAAATTGACAAACCCCATTTAACTTTTTAATTTCTATTTCCTTTCCGTTTTTTATAACCTGTGACAGGTTATAAAAAACTTTAAAAATTTCTCATTGTTTTGCCATAAATAGCAAGTAATAAAATTATTTACTATATGTGTACCAATACGTTTAGATTTATTGCTTTTGATGATAATATTACCATACAAAACATAAGTAATTGCATCGCATAAAATGTTCCTCGATTACACTTCGCCGTTACATATCTGCGAATCGATTGTAATGTTGCAGGAACGTTTATCATTGATATTAAACTATCCATGTATGTGCAAAGCGTTTGTATATACGTCGAATTGCAAGGTTCGGGAGTAAATGCATCCGTTGACTCCGTCTCGTTTTTAACCGGGTATTCCGTTCGTGCGAGTGAAATGGAAACTCACGAAGGCTCCGCTATCAACGCCTGAAGCCGCCCGCCCGCCCAGTCGCTTCCAGTGCGCCGCCCTATACGCAACGTTTCATATTTCGAGTTGCTGAAAGCAGCCACCCATTAACACATTCATGCAGAAATTGTGCAATTTTTAATTGTTTTTCTTAAATTGTAATTTAATATGTGGCTAAGTGTAGTTATGGATTGGTGAGAATTTTTTTTTATTTGCTGTTAGAATATCAATTTTTTGCTTTTGGGAGTCATTTGTCGCAATTGTAAATATTTAAATTATGTTTCATTCAAAGTGCTGGTGATAGTTTTAAAACTATTTTAGGATACGACGTTATTGTTGCAAATTAAACTTTAATGTTTTTACTAAAATTTATTGTAGTTTATATAAATGGTATAAGTTTTTGATCAAATTTTATTTAAAAGAACTTATTTCTTGTTTAATCATACATTGTTAAATCAGTTCATTAAACATTTCTCTACTTTTTTGTCTTTACACGCATTATAAACTTCCGTAATTTTAACTTAACAAATGTAAACATTTAATTTTGTAATATATTGCACTCTTAGCTCTACGCAGAAGCACTATTCTATGTTTAACTTTCAAGTAGATGCATGTAATTGCCCGCTGCTCACCTTTTATTCAGTCTCGATTTTAATAATGTACTTGTAATTTATACCAAAACATACATATGGACTGTAATGGCAAGAAAAATTGTAGGATTTGTACTAACACATTGACTACAGTAATTGCACGTAATTTAAAATTCTCTTGTTAATAAAATCTAATTTACGAATTTTTTTGCGTTCAATTGTGGTTTTAATTCCTGATGTCTACACTTGAAAAGCCCATGTTCGCCGGACTAAAGGCCCATTTACACGATGCCATTTTCTTGTACATGCAAGAGCAATAATTGAATGCAATAAATTGCGCGCAATAATTGGTTAGACCATTTGTTGTTTACACCATGCAACTTATTTATTGCTTCAATTTAATTGTATACAACAGGCAAGAAACTGGCACCGTGTAAATGGGCCTTTACTCATGAACGTTTTACTTTCTAATTTCGTAATAGGTAGTACATATCGTCAACTTTTATAATTTTTTTTATCCGATATACGCAGTCGGGGCCTACCGTGTTGGTGGATCTTCTTATTTAACAATTCGTATTATTCACATAAATTATTAATATATATCGCTACATATTTATATGTTGAGAAAATAAGATTTAATGTGTGAATGAAAATAAGAAAATAAGTTATTAAAAAAAACCTTAATTTTACAAAAAAAAAATCTTCCTATATGTCTGAATTGAAAAAAACTCGTTAAATTTTTTTTAAATCTTCCCCTCATGTCACCATCGCCCACTCTCGCAGTTGATGACAAGTCTCAAATATACTCGATTGTTGTTCAGAGGAAAAGGGTGACACCCTCCTACGCGCATCTATTCAAGTGGAAACTGAGTTATTCATACACTTTGTCAGCCGACGGCCTTCGTGAATTTTTATTGATTGTTTCGTTTTCAAAAAGAACGATACTTCTTTCTATAAGTTCGTTGTTTAAACTTATGAATTTAATTTTTACGCAACGTTCTAATTTGACTCACATCATAGTTGCGGAATATATGCGTGCGTAATATAACCCTTCACGTCTACACCCCTGTATTTGCACGGGATTACCGTCGTATTTCTTATACAACAAAAAGGGTGTTTTTTTAGTTAGTGTTGTGTGTTAATATAAACACTGACTTTCGTTCTCTTGATAAGAGTTTTTTTTAATATTTCGTTCCTTCTTTTCAATTTGTCTGTTTTGTTCCAGTTTACGGCTTGGGTGGATGCCGTAATATTTGTGTTTGGTCTTGAAAACGAAACTAGTTATAAAACAGTTTCGACCTACTTCAATAAGATGTCTCACTACCGGAATTCAGCCGAAATTCCAATCATACTGGTTGGGACTCAAGGTCAGTATATTAAATCACTACTTTCCCCGATTATATAATACATATTACACCATTTTCTACACCATTATCAATGTATTCATTAATTCAGAGACGTCCAAATTATTATGTGTTAGTTTTTTTCCACTAAATGATCATTTACCATTCCAGATGCCATAAGTGAAAGTAGTCCACGCGTAGTAGACGATAACCGAGCTCGTAAGTTGTCGAACGAACTGCGGAGATGTTCTTACTACGAGACGTGTGCGACGTATGGATTGAACGTAGACAAAGTATTCCAAGATGGTATGTATGATAAACTTATTGTTAACACATTGTTTGAATACATATTATAGTGTAACTATAAAATAAATTAAATATTGGCTCCCAGGTTGCTTTACAAGAGAAAAAATAAGTTTAGATTATTAAATAGTTATTGCCAACATAATTTAAAGCTAATTTTTACAAAAATCTATTTGGGTTCATAAATACGTGTATGTATTTTAAAATGCAGTTACTAGTACCCATTCATTATAAAGTTTCGGTCAATTACGCGGTACAGTTTTTCCGGCGATAACAAATTGTTCTGCGTGCGTAAAGACTGCGTGATGATACTGAACGCTCAGTCGCTCAGTGAGGGGAGTTGGCAGTCGCGCAGTGGCAACATCGTCTCACGGCCGCACGGTCGTTCCGTACGTTTTCGTTCATTCGCGTCCGCGTTATTGTTTACATTTTTGACATAACGCGTCGTTAACTTTATTTACATTTACGCCGGTACACCGTAATTCGCGTTCCGAATATTTTCGTCGTACTGTTGTAATTTCTGAATGGCGATATGGAGAAGACGCTTCTTTTCAAATCCAACTTGTCGCCGATATCGAGCTTGAGGCGTCGCAGTTCGTGCTACAACATACAAAGAGCCGAGGAGCGAGACCGTCGAAAATCTGCTAAATTTGAATGTGCGTGCTTTTCACCGTTTCAAGTCCGTGTTTCGAATTCAAAATAGTGATTTGTGCCTTTCAAACGAACGTTGCTTTCTTAAGGGGAGCAGCTGTATGCATGTGGTGATTTAGTGCTCTTTTTCTAGCGTGTCAGAAAATCGTCGGCACGAGGCTGTCTGCCTCTTCGCAGTGCTTGGCGGGATCCAGGCCTGTTACGCCGCAGCCCTTGGCTAATTCACCAAGCCACAATCACTCCACATTCCTTTATAAGGTAAGAGATATGTATATTTTGTAAAACGACAAAAAACGCTTAAAACGATAAAATTTTCGAACGAATAATTAACGATTTATTTGCCAGATGACTGTGCAGTTATCTGTTATTTTTTCAATTTAGAACCTGCATCAAGATATCTTCTCATTTAGAACTTGAAGAATTTATTCTAAATTACATTATTCTTCTTATGAAAATATGAATATACTTATGAAAATCAGAATCTATAAAAAGAATGTTTCATGGATGGGAATTTTAAAAAAGGCAAAATTTAGACAAATCCACAAACACAATGCTAAGCACCATGTTGTATTATTGTTATATTTTCATAATAATAATGTATATATACCTACTGTATGGTCCCTTTTTACTTTTGTTTTTTATACCAAGTGAGTACAGTGAATTTTTGAAAGATATTTATAGTTTTCAAAGTTTTAAGTTCTGGGCAGTGTTAGTATTGTTATTTGCTAATGAACTAGTTGTCACTGGCAACAGGAACTTGGTTTGCCTAAATTGATTGTTCCTGCTTAAAGCTCATATTTGACAGGAATTTTAACACATAGTAACTACATTGCAAGTGGAATGATGCAATGCTACATATTTTTGAAATTTCATGAACTCATATGATTTTAGTTTATTTTTAAATGTTTTCTCTATTATTCATTGTTTCTGTAGTATGTATGTGCTAGTAGCCCTTGTCTTCTTTATTGTCATAAGACATTGTCATATTGTATAGTAGTAAATAATATAATTATTAGCATAACTTATTTAAAATGTTATCAATTTGATGAGTTACACTTACGAGGAATTTCAATATATTGATTTTGTGCTTCAATTATTGCAAATCACTATGCATTGGAAATCAGGAATGTTTTGCACGAAAAATAATCTTTTGAATCAGAAACAAGTATTTTGTTTTCGGAACCATATTTACAAGTATTTCCTTTTTATCATTTCCAAGTTGCACTGTATCTTATATCCACAACTGGCATGTAGTGATAAGGCATTTGCCATTTACGATTATACAATTTCATGATTCTTTAAGAACATATAAACATTTTAATTTAATATTATGAATTGATGCAGTTAGAATTGACACTCTCACTTTCGTACATAATCATATACATTATCTATCTTTATTTGATAACAGTTGCACCCAGCAGTAAATTTAGTTATCACACTGAAAATGAAATGTCAACGGAAGCCACTGTTATGATAATTGAAATAGGTCTTTGTTACTTTTGTAATCAGCAAGGAAATACTTCCTAACTGGAATAACTAAAAATTGGATATTAAAAAATTATTTCCTTTTAACTTTTTCAAGTATTTGTTATTTGGTTATTATATGTTAAATACATATTTAACTTTAACAGTATGATCTAGACAGAAATAAATATCACCATATTTCAATAAATATGGTGATATGACGCTCTAGCCACTGAGCTAAACGGCTGATAGCCACAGCGACGAAAATCTTAACACCTTCCTTCTACAAATGCTAAATAACAATGTAGAAGTGAAATAACAGTGAGTTTTTTAACTGTAATCACAATATTGCTAGTCACACTTCTCGCTTCAAAGCCATCACCGATTAATGAGAAACTTATTGACTAGTCTTACATTAATTAGGACATTTGCAATACACTGCTTTTTTTATACTCCAAATTGAAACTAGAAATGTTTAAAGAAAGTAATTAGCTTTGTGCTAAATGAGTCCAAGGTCTTCCTTTTCAGCATTATAGATAACAATGCCCAGTGCAAATAATACTGTACTCGCATGTTAATTTTTATTTAAATTAGAAGATAGTCTCAAGGTGTTCATTTTTACAATTACCTCACACTCCAGCAAAGCATTGATAAAAAATATTTCTAGCAACACTGCTCCAAATACTTTCCAAATGTTTATTTATATTGGGCTTATGAAATTGTTTGTAAACAGTTCTAAGTCATATGCATTTAAATGATGTCACAACATACCTTCAAGGTTTGGACAATGATCGTGTAATGTGTTTCTGTTTAAGTGATGTAATAAAATCAAAGAACAAAAACATTTTTATTCCAGAAATAGTCTCAATTCACAGGTATATTTGTAGATGTTTTAAAACGAATTGTGTATTTATTTTCATTAAATACTCTAATGCCAGGTTTTCTTGACACAGTCATAATTATTTATTTTGAAAAGCTTTTGCAGCCCTTACATTCTTATAGATTGTTTAAAGGTGGAAAACAGGGTTCTGTACCTTAAAAGGTAAAAAAGGAAAGCTTATAAGATCACTCTCTTGTCTGTGTGTCATAGCTGATTTTCTCAGGAACGGGTGGACCCATCAAGTTGAAATTTATATCAGATAGTGAGGTATAGTCACTTGTGCTGTAAGACCTTGTTTTTAATCAAAATTGACAACTCTAGGTCAACCGGAAGTACCCTCTAAGTTTTGGGTCCAAAAGCGTATTATAGTCTGACACTAGCTATTCATGAGATAGATGAAAGGATCCGAGAAAGTGATAGCATGGTGCGCATTGTGATTCGAATACCAAACCTTAAATATTCTTTAAAAATTATCTATACATTTTATGCAAGAAGATGGCAAGCAGGCTGGTGATTCACCTGATGTTCTGTTTTCTTTTTTCTTTTTTTTTTACAAAATACATTGCCCTCACTTTAGGATAACATTACCCTGTGCTGTAAGGACGTTTTTACAAACGTAAATTTCACGTGGACAAACACCCAGATGCGAAACAACTATCTGTGGGTCGCACAAATAGTTTTCCCGTGTGGGAATCGAACCCACCGCCCCCGGCGCCGAAGCCAATAGCTTGGCAACTGCGCCACGGAGTCATCAGTAAGTGATAACCGCCGTCCATGGACATTTTCAATATCCGTAGGGTTGCAGATGCGTAGCCACCTTTTAAGTGGGCCCCCTGCAACCTTACCAGAAAAAAATTAAGAACTATAACACTTCCATTGCACACGGACCTGCCAATTCGTGCAACAGCGTACTGTCGGGTGACTACCACAGTTAACATATACTTTCATGGTCTAGAATAGACAAAGTTACAATTGGTACTATTCACATTTCACTCTGGCAAAAACTGGCTTTTCGTTTTATATCCGAATTGATTTTATACTGTAGTAAATACTCCACAGTTACGAATCCAATTACGTCCAAACTTTAGGTAGGTAGTGTTTGTTGAAATGGTGGAACCAATAATTAGCTTTAATCGATAAGTCGTAGTAGGTAAGCTAATTGATAATCGCCAATTACACTCTAGAGACTTCGTGGTTTCGTTTTCTCTTCTTGAAGCCGGCACCAATGAAATTGTATCTGTATTTAAAACGCTAAATGAACTAAGTCCTATTTAGATAAGCGGTTATTTGAATGTATCGCTTAGGCATTTACTCTGGCGCATTGCACACTATTTTAACGCGATGACAGGCGAAATATGGCAGGATATATTTTATATTGTCTCCGTGAGCACCAGAATATATAGGTATAATATTATTGTTCGCACGACTTGTTCGTTCATTAGTATAGGATTTACTAACTCGTCTATGGCGATTTGTTTCCGCATACCTTACACTTTGTATAAATTGTGTAGGCTGTTCTTTAAACTTCTATTAGAATGAAACAGTCACCACAAAGAGATACGGCGAGTTTCCTGCAAATCGAATGAGATTCTGTTATCTGTTGACGGATATAGGTGACTGGTTTCTCTGTGATAGTTATCTGGTCTGGGTTTATCGATGATATGGACACGTTATTTTATCATTTTCATCTTACATTTGTCTGAGCTTACACGGTACCTGTGTGATATATGCGGAAACTATATGATTTTAGATGGCAGTTATTTTATATTTACTTTTAGACTTTGATGGCGCATTTGCCAATGTTTTGGCTTCGGCATCAGTAGACGTGGGTTCGTTTCCCTAGCGTTACAACTATTTGTGTGACACAAAAAAATGTTTTTGAGATCTGGGTGCTTGCCCCCTTGAGAAGTATATTAGTAAAACGTCCATACAACACATTATAACGTCATCCTACATGATCTTATCCTACGGTAAGAACAAAAAAAGACTATAAGAATATGTTGTTTTATGTATCTGTTGAGCATAAGAGGACACCCGAACGTACACGCCATATACACACATTTATGCTATTGAGTGACTGTTTTACTACGCCGCGGACCTTGAGTTATAGGATCCAGTTTTCGTATGTCTCATATTAACAGCGATTGTCCACATGTGCATTTTGTCTGTGTAAATCGCTAGGTACACTTCAATACAGAAACGTTTCATTGTGCCCTAGTGAAATAGAGGGAAAAAGAAAAAATAGTGTTTTTATCTTGTTAAAATTGATTTATTGTATTTACGAGATTACACATTATAAATGAAACTAATTTTACGGATTTATCGCGTTTATTTTTAATTTTAATTCGCGACGTTTCGAACCCTTTACAGCGTTCATGGTCATGGGACAGACTGAGGTGTTAGACGTCTGATTGTCATAGTTAACCCGGGCTACCGTCAGTTTTTGGATTATTAATTTTGTGTCCAATCTATGCAGAGGGAGCTAATTGCATCTTGTCTTGCAGTAGTGGTTCGTTTGGGCCTAGATTTAATTTTATTGATGACAGGATCCCAAGCTGATGGTAGTACCCAACCTTCTTCTCTATTGAAATTAGGTTGTTTTTTAATTTCAATAGCCTCGCGAATCATCTTTGGGAGGAATCGGTGTTCTTTTGCAAGGATCTGTGGTCTATCAAACCTGATGTAGTGGTTGGGCCGATTTAAGGTGTGCTCACAAACTGCAGATTTGTTCAATCTTCTATGTTTTATGTCAGCTATATGTTCTTTCATGCGGGTTTTTTATTGCTCTTTTCGTTTGTCCAAACGAAACGCTGTAAAGGGTTCGAAAGGTCGGGAATTAAATTTAAAAATAAACGCGATAAATCCGTAAAATTAGTTTCATTTATAACTGTTTTATATATTGTTATAAAATTTAATTAAATACTATATTTTCTCTTTGTATAGTCTAACCTTTAAATAGTTCACTTGTGCCCAGTTTCCGAAAGGCCAATCAAAGCAGCAATCACATAACACTATGTCAAAAATGATCAGCTGTTAATCTCTTGTTAAACTGCCTTGGGTTTCTGGAAGGTTTGTTCAAGAAAAATTAGCTAATCACTGTATAACCAATGATAATGAATGAAATGAATGATTTACTTCAACTAACTCTTTCTATTGTATAGCTGTCCCTCTTTAAACAAAACTTAAATTAACGTCATTATCCAGTGCTGTCACCGTGTGTTTGCCAACGTCAAAATCAGAGTTATAATAAAATTTAATTTATATAAATACATGCAAAATGTCAAGAAAAACCTTTACAGAACGTGAAAAAAATTAACTTTTATCCATAATAAACAAGTAAGTATTATAAAAAGAAAGAATCCATATTATTTATTAACTTTTGAATTGCATTTTTTATTTTTTCTAATCGCATGATATGTAACAGGTAATAGAACACATGAATTTCCTTACGACGTATTAGGGAATTATGATTATTTTTAATAAAAACTAAGATTTTTGATAAAATACATTTTTAACCAACGACTGATCGTCCAAATTGACAGATTACTTAATAAAACTTTTGACAGCTCGTTGATTGTCCGTTAATCAGTGACTAATTGCAAATCAAAATCAATGTTGTTTTCAGACGTTCTAGCAACTCAGATCATGTTTAACAACGTTTGACAAGAGATTTATCGTAAATTAAAATTGATTGCGCTTTCGGAAACTGGGTGTTGGAATGTGAGTGTATACAAAGTGAGATTATTAGTTGAAAGTCGGCGCTTTACGCAAAACGGGATTTCCCTTCTTTAGATCTATTGCTAGAGATTTCCTGTTTCCACATAGGATCACTGTTTCTGTTCCTAATTGTTGTGCAATTAGTGATATTAGTTCATTGCGTTTAATGCCGAGAGCTAATTACGGTCTTTGCACGGAAATTGAGTTTACTTATTTACATTCTATACACATATGCAAATATGGAACAGAAAAGTAATCAATCAAAGAAATAATAATACAGATAATATAGATGGAAATTTAATAAAAATACTTTTCCAAGTAATTTTATGCGTAAGTAACCTGTGATACCGGTTTTAATATTTAATCCACAGATAGATTTGGTTACTAGCGAATACGTATTTGACATTAGCCCCATAATACTTACGTCAAAGTTCTATCTCCATTAACCGTGAGTGCGTCATATAAAAAATATTAAAACCCCCCCACAGGACTCGCTGCCGCGTGGCCATCACACGCTATCCGCTTCCTCGCATCACTTGCACCGCGGCGCGTCGTCGTTCGACGCGTCGTCCAACAGCAGCGGAATATCCTCCACCCACGTGGTAGAGATCCACAGCACGAACGGCTCGGATAGCTCGTCGCGATGGGGCAACTCCCTAGGCAGCCACGGCTCCTCCACGGCCCTCGTTTCCATAGCGACGGAGAACAACAACGTCAAGTTCACCGCGCCCCACTGCCTCGACAACCTCGCGAAGGACCCCAAGGACCCCAAGGACCCCAAGGACCTACTCCCCACGCCCTCCTCGACGCCCACCACCTCGAGGAAGTCCCGCCGCAGGTCAGTGCTGCCAACTTGGGCTTTTACCCCTTAATGCCTTGCTATCTATATGCTATCTTGGCTTAATGCTTTTTCAGGGTCCAAAAGTTTAGGGCCATTTTTAGGCATTAATAATATCTCATGAATCACTCGTTTGACTAACGAAAATGAGAAAATAAAAGCATAATGCCGATTAATAAATATAATTAATTAGATTTTAATTAATATTATGTAGTACTGTTCATTATTTCAACTATTTGTAATTGAAAGTAAGTTATATTTATTTCATCATCATCATGATGAAATAAATATATCATTTAAACAATATCTTTGATTATAATACAGGGTTGTTTTGGGGCTTTTGAAAATTGTATTTTTAGAGCTATTTGTGGCTTTGACTTTATCCTTTGAATTTAGGGCCATTTTTTTTAAATTTGCCGGCACCACTGCCGCAGGTCCAACCTCTTCACGCCCTCTAAGAAGGGAGACGACAGGCTGAAGAACGGCGAACTAGGTTCCGGGCGGGCGATACCACTGAAACAGGGCTACCTGTACAAGAAGAGCAGCAAGGCGCTGAACAAGGAGTGGAAGAAGAAGTACGTGACCCTCTGCGACGACGGACGCCTCACGTACCATCCCAGTTTGCACGTGAGTGAAAAAAAACAAGTAAAGTAACAAACAGCCTGTACAGGGAGGCTTTTCTGAGTGTATCCATTTTTTTTAAATTAAATTCTAGACATAAATAATGTTGTATAGAAAATGATGAATGTTTTAAATCACTCGTATGTAATTAATTGCTTCAATAAACGATTACACTACCGTCTGAGTCTGAACCTCATATGTAAATTCGGGCACATTTAAAAAATCTCCCTGTATATGTCCCACTGCTGGGCAAAGGCCTCTGTACAGAGGGTATAGCCCACCACGCGATGCCATTGCCAAGTGGCAACTTTATAATGATATTCGCACCTATTTTAGTGTGATTTTGCTTGCATGAAGCTCAGGCGGTTAAAACCATAAAACTTTTGATTGAAGGTATTTTTTTTTTTTATTTAGGCCTTTTTCGAGCAATTAGATTGCGTCGAGCCTTACCCGATGTGGAGGGTCGTATTAAGCTTGTAGAGTCTGGCTATTCCACGAGTTTTGCGGTCAAAGGAGCTTTAAGATTAGGGATTGTAAGAGAACATCATTCAATTAAGATAAACGTCAAGATCTAATAAAATCAGGTTTAACTATCCCCTTGGCTTGCAAGGATCGTCGCTGGATGGTCGTTGATTAGAAGCTATTGTTCCTAATTAATCGAAATCTGTTTTTTTTCTATGTGAAAAGTTGCCAAACGAGCAGACGGTCACCTAATGTTGAGTGAATACCGCCGCCCATAGACATCTGCTACACCGGAGGGTTTGCAGATGCGTTGACAACCTTTTGAAAATTGGGCTCCGGGCACCTCACTTACCAGACGAAACGCGAAACTATTATACTTCCACTTTACGCCGGTCTTCTGTGAGATCGTGGTAATTACCCGGACGAGCCTCCCCATTCGTGCAACAGCCGAGGCTGCTGCGTGGCCTTACCACCAATATCGAAGTAATCTGTGCCAATAATGATGGATGCAAACTGGACTATCGTATATCGTATTTGTAATTATCAATGGCGATGATGAAAAACAAGAAAGAGGTATTTTATGGCCTCCCGGTTGGAACGCAGTCCCTTTTGCTATACCTTTTTTATATTAACTAGTGGTCGAAATTTACCATATTTAATTTTATAGCTTTATTGTACTTTTTTATGCATTATTTTGAAAAATATTAGCATTCTGCACTCCTTCTCTATATAAACTATAAGTGTGAAAAATTTCATACCCCGCCGTCCACTTAAATTTCGTAAAAAGGTGTTCAATGTTTTAGCTTCACGTATTTAATAGAAGTTAATATTATAGGTATTTTATCGATTGAAAAAAGTTTGTTTCATAAATCACTGCAACAACATGTTGATTTTTAGTGTCGTTTTTCGTTTCAAAGCAATTCGGAACGACAGTGCAAAAACTAAACCGACTCTCCCAGGATTACATGGAAGACGTGAACGGCAAGGAGATATCGCTGCAGTACGTCACCGTCAAGGTGCCGGGCCAGAAGCCGCGCGGCTCCAAGTCCATCATCACCACCGTGCCAGGGTACAACGGCTACAGCGGCCTGGACATCCACGAGAGCATCGGCGGTCTATCGCTTGGTAAGGCCGAGGTCTATCTACGCCGAAACGATCGATGCCAGCATATGTTTGTTTCTATGCGAGAAGGTGGCAAGCAAGCTAGTGGTCCAACTGATCGTCCGTTGACATTTGCAACACGAAGCGGGGTAGAAGATGCGATGGAGGTAGCGATGCCACCTCTCGATAAAGTGGGCCCGGCCACCACACTCACCGGACGAAACGAAGAAGTCAAAGCACTTACCGGAACGGTGCTGCCCATTGATAACAACGAAGACTGTTTCGTGGCTCTACAACAGTTAAAAAGTAATACGAGTGTTGGAAAATAAACTTGTATTTTCTATTATTAGTACTATGAAGTCTTTTAAAGTTCTTTTTTTTATAGTGTTAATCTCTGCACTTAAGATTGAACATTAAAACATGACAACACACAACAACACGGCCGTTTAGCTCAGTGGCTAGAGCGTCAGGCCGCGAATGCCGAAGACGTGGGTTCGATTCTCTTGGGAATCACAGTAGATTCAAAGCTCCAATGGAGTCCCCATCTATCATCTCTTGCGAATAGGTTAAGCTCCGCTGTTTTTGCAATTAGGAAGGTTAGGCAGCTATCAGACATCGACACTGCCAGACTTGTTTACTACAGTTATTTCCACAGCATCTTGTCTTACGGCATTTTGTTGTGGGGTAGTGCATCTGATATAAATTCAATATTTATTATTCAAAAAAGAGCTGTCCGAGCAATTTATAACATCGGAGCCCGGAATACACTCAGAGATCTTTTTAAAGAGATTAATATACTCACTGTTTCGTCTCAATATATTTATTGTAATATTTTGTATGTTAAACAGAATATTAATAATTATCAAAAGAATAGTGACAGACATAAACTAAATACTAGAAATAAGGACAAACTAACTACGCCATTATTTCGCCTACAAAAAGTGAACAGATCGTTCATGGGGCAAAGTGTGCGCATGTATAATAAAATCCCACAGTCGATGTTAAGTCTGCCACTTATGAATTTAAACGAAAAATTAAAAGTAACTTATGGCTAAAGCCTATTATACTATTGCCGAATATCTTGACGACGCCAATGTGTGGGGTTAATACTGTTGATACTCACGTAGGCTAAAACAAGACTATTGTACCTGTACTATTATATTGTAAACTGATTTTTTAAAAAAGAGCAACTGTTGAGTTTCTTGCCGGTTTCTTCTCAACAGAAACTGCTTTCCGAACCGGTGGTAACTTACGAACGTGTTAATTTCTTGTAAAATTTTGACGTTTCATAAGAACGCGCAAGCGTCTATGTGAATAAAGATATTTTATTATTATTATTATTATTAACAGCAGCGACAATCTTTTCGTACTTTTTCTATATGTTGTAGTATGATGTCTGTCATGAATAAAAATTTGTACGCAGAAGTGTAACACTTTACGCCAGTCTTTTGCGAGTTCGTGGTACTTACCCGGACGGACCAGCCCATTCGTGCAACAGCGATGAGTGTTGCGTGGCCACAGAATATACCTATGGATTTCATTAGGATTTGTGATCTTGGGATAATCAATCAAAGCTATATCAGGTCAATATATCTATGATATCACTAGGGTTTGTAATCTAGGCTACGATCGATCTTAGCTATAATCTATGGATTTCGTTAAGTTAGTAATCTAAACGAGTACTATAGCATGTAAATTTTGTTGGTAAAATGAATTTAGATCTGACATTGATTGTTGTTTTTTTTACTAATTGAGATTTTGCTAGGTTATAATTTTAGTGAAGTAACTATTCGCTAGTGTATTTTACTCCATTGGCATTTCACATTGCATTCTATTACAACATTCGTAGATTGATAGCTGGTACAACTATCAATCTACTACGCGTTCTGGCCGCAAGGCTCCGCATACCCTTCTTGATTTCCCACAAGTTCCTTGTACTAGTCTACTCCATGTCTCTGTTGCATAACAATCATCGTATAGCTCTCTCACTGTAAACTCCCATCGTACAACTTTCCCGCTGTATACTCTCCGATTATACAACTCTCTCATCGTACAACTATCCCATTGTACACTCTTCCACTGTACACTCTCCTATCCTACAACTCTCCCATCGTACAACTCTCCCACCGTATAACTCTCCCATTGTACACTATCCCATTGTACAATCTCCCATTGTACACTATCCCACTGTACACCTTCCTCATGGTACATGTCTCTCACTGTAAACTCCCATCGTACAACTTTCCCGTTGTATACTCTCCGATTATACAACTCTCTCATCGTACAACTATCCCATTGTAAACTCTTCCACTGTACACTCTCCTATCCTACAACTCTCCCATCGTACAATTCTCCCATTGTACACTATCCCATTGTACAATCTCCCATTGTACACTCTCCCACTGTACACTCTCCCATTGTACACTATCCCATTGTACACTCTCCCACTGTACACTCTCCCACTGTACACTCTCCCACTGTACACCTTCCTCATGGTACATGTCTCCCACTGTACACTCCCATCGCACCACGCGCAGGGTACAAGGAGCCGGCCGGCGCACGCGCGCCCGACGCGGAGCACGCCGAGCGCGACACGCCCCACGTCAAGAAGCGCCACCGCCGCGCCAAGAGCAGCGGCCTCAAGAAGGACGCCGATGAAGGTCTCTCTCTCTCTCTATCTCTCTCTCTCTCTCTCTCTTTATTCCCCCTCTTTCTTTCTCTTCCTCTCTCTCCCCCTCTCTGTCCCTCTCTCTCACTTTATTTCCCCTATCACCCTCTCCCTCTACCTCCCTCTCTCATTCCCTTCTTTTATATTTTCAGGACACATTTTCACAAAACGTTCTCTAGTCCCATACTAAGCAACACTTGTACTATGCTTGGCTTAATTTAGGGGCTAGATAACGTGTAAATATAACTGTCCTGATACTGTCTCTCTCTTTCTCTCTCTGGATAGCGATTTTATGTAACAATTTCGACCCCTTAGTGCGGTCAGTTAGGAAATAAATGAACTCGTCCCGATATGTCAACAGCGCGGTCAAACCATCCCTTATTTTTTTGGCTTCTCCCATCAAGCAATTACTTTTATTGTGAATGCACACTAGAACAAAAAATAAAATAAATTAGATACTCTCTATTGTAGCCTAAACAGCCGAATATTTTTTTATAAAGTAATAATATACAATAAATATGAAAGGAACAAACAATGACTTCCGTTTTTATACGAATTCGTAGACGACCAGCGTGTACGGGAGATATTTTCGGCAAGTCATCTGCAACCATTCTGATGCCTATGAGCGGTTGTAATCATTTAAAACGAGATGTTATATAGATTTTAACTGTGGCGGGAGATTTTAACCGTCCGGGTAAGCACCATGACCTCACAGAAGACCGGCGTTTAGTAGAAGTTTTGTACTTCTGCATTTCGTCTGGTGAGTGAGGTAGTTGGGATGCACTTTATAATTTATTAAAAGGTTTCAACGCATCTGCAACCCTACGAGTGTTGCAAAAATAGGCGGGGGTTATCATTTCTTTTTGGATAACTGATGTTACGTTTTCATTCGTTAGACTATTAAAGCTTCATCGAACGCAGAACCGGTGGGCTAGTCAGAACCCACAGGCTTGGGGCCCTCCTCAGTGGGTGAGCCGCGCTCGTACTCATGCGGGCCATCACTTAAAATCAGGTGTACCGCCAGCTCGTCTGCCACTTTCCACGGTAAAAAATGTTATTTTTTTATGTGAAAAGTTGCCAAGCGAGCAGGCGGTTCACCCGATGTTAAGTGAGTACCGCCACCCATGGGCATCTGCTGCACCCGAGGGTTGCAGATGCGTTGACAACTTTTTGAAAATTGGGCTCCGGCCACCTCACTCACCAGACGAAACGCGAAAGTATTATACTTCCACTTGACGCCGGTCTCCTGTGAGGTCGTCGTGCTTACCCGGTCGAGGCTGCCAGTTCGTGCAACAGCCGCGGCTGCCACGCGGCCCTGCCACAGTTGTGTGTGTTGCTCTGGTTGCAGACGGCGACAGCGCCACGCCGTGCGAGTTCACGATCGTGAGCCTGGACGGGAAGCGCTGGCGCTGGGAGGTGGGCGGCAGCGGGGCGGCCGCGGCGGCAGAGCGCGACGCCTGGGTGGCGGCCGTCGAGGCGCAGATCCTCGCCTCGCTGCAGGGCCGGGTCGGTGCTCTCGCTCGCACGCACGCCCTCTGCCGAGAGTCCCTCACGTTCTCACAGACTATGTGCTCGGCCGAACAGCCTCCCAGAGCTCCCTCTCGCTTAAGAGTTTACGGTGCTCTCGCTCGCTCGCACTCCCTCTCCCACTGCTTCCTCTCGCTCTTACACATTTGGTGCCTTCTCGCCGCACTCATTTGCTCATACACAATCTTTCATCGCTACCTTTCGTTCCCACATACTTTGTGGCAACTCTCTGCAACAGCGCTATCTTATTCTCACACACTCGTGATGCCTTGTCGGTACACTCACTTATTCGCACAACTTTCACAATGGCCCCTTTCTGTTACACAGTCGTGGTACCTGGTCCGTAGATTAACTTGCGCACACGTTCTCTGCCGTAGTTCTTTTTCTTTCATACACATGCCTAGTCCGTGGCTTCAATCAAGCTTCCGTATGCACATAGTGGACTAACACGAAGTCAAACACATATTTCTTTGCAGAGCCCAGGCATTACACTCCTTGCTTGTCTCTTATATGGTTATTACACCTGTATTTAACATAACAATTCACCGCGGCCTTAGTTTTTGATAGTGCGTGTCAGTTGTCTCCGAGATTATTTTATAATTTCCAGTATCGCGTATATGTGCAGTATTCTTAAACGAAACCATGTTTTGCGAAACTCATACTTTTACAATATTAGATTTACCGTAACGATCGTAGAATTTAGTGTCACTTCGCAATTTACTCGATACCTGAGACCTGATCTTAGCGATTACACTGACGCCCCGCCCCGCAGACGTGCCGCCAGCCGGCGCCGACGGGCGCTAACACGACGGGCGAGGTGCGCGCCGCGCGCTACATGCGCCGCGTGGCCGGCAACCAGCGCTGCTGCGACTGCTCCGCGCCAGGTGCAACGAGCCCACTGCTCTGTGCACTCTATCCCACTCCCACGCTCCTACTCTGTGCAGGCTCCCACGCCCCCTACTCTGTGCAGGCTCCTATCCCCCCTACTCTGTGCAGGCTCCTATCCCCCCTACTCTGTGCAGGCTCCTATCCCCCCTACTCTGTGCAGGCTCCCATCCCCCCTACTCTGTGCAAGCTCCCACGCTCCCTACTCTGTGCAGGCTCCCATCCCCCCTACTCTGTGCAGGCTCCCACGCCCCCTACTCTGTGCAGGCTCCCACGCCCCCTACTCTGTGCAGGCTCCCACGCCCCCTACTCTGTGCAGGCTCCTATCCCCCCTACTCTGTGCAGGCTCCCATCTCCCCTACTCTGTGCTTACTCCCACGCCCCCTACTCTGTGCAGGCTCCCACGCCTCCTTTTCTCTTCGGACTCCCCCGCCTCCTCTGTCCATACTCCTTCGCCCCCTCCTTTGTCCCACGTCCCATTCTCTATGCAGACTTACACTCCCCCTCCTTATTATTGTACATCTTAAGCCCCTTCTTTATTATAAATTTATATTCTTTATTCTAAATCTTATGACGTCATCTTTATTCCGAATCTTATATCCGCCTTATTGTGAATCTCATGCAACTCCATGCCACTCGTCCTCTATTCTGAATCTTATGACCACATCTTATTGTGAATCTAAATCATCCATCATCTTCATCCCGAATCGTATTCCCCTTTTTAATTCTGCATCTTATGCCTTCTTTTTTCCTTAATATAAGAAGTTACACAGGGCTAAATATATATCTGAGCCTTTAATATTATATTATCATTTTCTCATTTCAGACCCCGACTGGGCTAGTCTGAACCTGGGCGTGTTGATTTGCATAGAATGTTCCGGAATACACAGGAACCTCGGATCCCACATATCGCGAGTGCGCTCCCTAGATTTGGACGAGTGGCCGTAAGTGCATATAACGGGTTTATTTATCAATAAAGTTATCAATATACATAAGTATATTGATAACTTTATTAAAGTTGAAGAAAGATGAATGTTGTTAACTAATAATGAAGGAATATGCGGTCTATTCCTATATTTATTTTTGTTTGATGTGATTATCACACACATAAATTGGTTCTCATTAACGGTGGTCCAATTAATTAAACCTTAAAAAAAGTAAACTTGTAGCAAAGAATTCTTGCAGAATTTTTAATATGTTTGAAAAATATAGCCAACTAGTAAATGTATCATAGTTTAAGTATAATTCTTATACATACACTTACAGATTGGGACACGTTAGCGTCATGGTGTCGATAGGCAACACTTTGGCCAACTCAATATGGGAGGCAGATCTGCGTGGCCACATCAAACCCATCGCTACCTCCAGCAGGGAGGAGAAAGAAAGGTAAATTACTCAACATTAACGGATTTCTGTTTAAGAAACGTTACTAAAAGGAGTTTTTCTTTTTACTAACATGTATTTGTTTATTATGATTTGTATAAGAAACTTTAAACATGCTTATTCAATTGTCAATAGTGAATATTGCCAAAGCATTATTTTGTTGTATCCGGTAGAGTGAAGATAATTTTGCTATTTTATGAGTCGCTAAGCTTTTCCGTGGATGTGTAACGGCCTCACAGAAAAGCGGAGTGAAGTGAAAGTATGTAATAAAATATTCAGGACACCTTTTTGCACAACATTCTAGGGAATCTCTATACTAGAGTCACAGCTAGTTCTCTTGTCTTAGCTTTGCTTAGTTTGGGGTTAAATAAGGCTATGTAAACATATGGGCTCCAAGTGATAGCTCAGTGTCCGGGCGCTCGTCTTTATTTATATTTACTCGAGCAACCTCAGTTCGATCTGGGGATTCGGGTTTCATTTGTGCTGGTAACGGGGTGCCAGCACCAATTAATTTTAAGTGCTGAAATAACACGTGCTCTCGGGGGTGAACGTGAAAAATATTTCGAAAATATGTGAAGTCCGCCAATCCGCATTGGGGTCGCTTGGTGGAGGACCATGTCCTGATACCCTCTTTACAGAGGAGGCCTTTCCCCAGCCATGGGACAATTTATATATTATTTAGTGTATGAATAACCCTTCATCGTTGTACTCATTATATCTGTGCACCTACCTCACTTTCTCTACACCACCCTAAGGTTGACTGGCATAAGACGCCTTTGGCATTAAATCCGCCTTTGTACTAGTTTGTGCATAAAGTGTAAATAAATAAATAAATAATATTTATGGGTTTTATGTGTTACTTAACTTTACGCGCTTCGGTCGGCAGGTGGATCCGGCTGAAGTACGAGCGGCGCGCGTTCCTGTGCGGCGAGGGCGCACCGAGCGGCGAGGCTCTGCGCAGCGCTGCGGCGCGGGGCCACATGGGGGCGCTGCTGCGCGCGCTCGCCGCGCCCCCGCCGCGCCCCCACTCGGCGCACGCGGCCGGCTGCGCGCACGAGAGGGCGCTCGCGCTGCGCGCCGCCGCCGCCGCGGGACACCTCGCCGCCGCGCAGCTGCTCATCTGGGTGAGCGGGACAGCGACACGCCTCGGCGCGGGGGTGCGAGCGGGACGGGCCGAGTGCGCTGCACTACACTAATGGCGTGGTCGTTACGTGCGAGCGGCACAGCGATACGCCTCGGCGCGGGGGTGCGAGCGGGACGGGCCGAGTGCGCTGCACTAGACTAATGGCGTGGTCGTTACGTGCGAGCGGCACAGCGATATACGCCTCGGCGCGGGGGTGCGAGGGGAGCCCGTCGAAGGGCATCTGCACCAGACTGACGGGACGGTCGCTATGTACGTGTGGGCGGTACGCTTCTGACGTGTGCGAGCGTAATGCCGATACGCTCCGGGTCCTGAGTGCGAGCGGGACTGACCGATTGCACTGCATTAGACTGATGGGGTGGTCGGCACAGCGATACACTTCCGATGACCGGAAATACATAGCGTTCATATATTCGGCGTTCATATAGTCTTGATTGCAAATCTTTGCCTAGGGTGCAAATTAACTTCAGGCGCAACGACTTATATCGTCATTGAACCATATTCGGATAACTGTAGTCGGAAGTAGTGCCTAGCGCTGTTCTCCCGCTCGCATTATAAGTTTTAAAATATATACGTAAATCACTGAAATATATCGTCACGATTACACACTATTACACATTATTAAAGTATAATTACTCACAAATAAACACCCCAATAGCAATCTCTGAAACTCTGTCTGAATGTCGGACCAGCACAATCGCAAATCCGAACTGTTGCTTTGTAAATACTATTTTGTCACATCAACCATTATTTATTAATTTATTATTCAACACTTACTCTAACACTCTAACACTACTCTTATTTAATCTTTACAGGCTTACCTAATACTATTACGCACATTTATATTTTTAAATTAGGTACGTAATAAATAACACTCGATAACAAACCCGTGTGTACCGTTCCAGCACAACGGCAACCCGAACTACCCGGACGCGGACGGCCACTCGTGCGTGTTCTACGCGCGCGCCGCCGCCAACCACCTCTCGGGGATCCCCCCGCAGTACCCCAAGCACCTGCAGCTCGACTGCCCGCTGCACCCGAACCCGCCGGCACTAACCGGCACCAACACCGGCACCAACACGAGCGCCGGCACCAGCACCAGCACCAGCACCAGCACGAGCACCAGCACCAGCTCCGGCAAGCAGGAGCCGGAGCCCGAATGCAACTGCGTCATGTTCGAGCTGCTCAGCGCGCAGCGGGCGGCGAACGCGCTCGTCGACTTGCTCATCGGGCTGCAGGGCGCGCACTACCCGGCCGGGATGGAGGCCCACGCCCACGCCCACCCGCTCGCGCCCCACGCCCACGCGTCGCCGCTCGCCCACGCCCACGCCCGCCCCAACCTCTCGCTGACTAACGGAAAGTGCGGCAGCATCGTCTAATGCCCCACGCGTGAATACCTCCGGTCTAGTGTGTTGTATCTTTACGATTCGTTCAATGGTATACGGCAGACGTACGCCACATCGTGTATTGGTTTAGGTTAGTTGTGGGCACAGTTTTTATAGACCATTCGTACGGGGTCTTTCTTATTGATTGAACAATTTTTAAAACTAATATATCGTTTAGACAAATGTTATACTGTGGATGGATAGACTGCTTTCTTGTTTACATATCCTAAAACGTTCATCGTTAGGCGAATAAATGTTTTTACAAAGAAATCTTTGGGATAAAATTAAAATAGCATAACCTGTTGACGTTTTTACGATCTTTTAATGGTTGAACGTATAGAATTACGATATTGTAAATCTATTTGTGGCTGTTTTTATTAATCAATAAGGATATTCGTCGATTATCACGTCAAGTATTGAGCTTCATACACTTTTATGTCATATTAAATAGTTTCGTCGTCTCATCAACATTAATTTCTTGTTGTTAGTGTAAACTAGTAAACAGTTACGTGTCCCCGAGCATCTTGTAGTCATCCTTTTCATATTTCCAAAACACATTTAGCTAATTAACTTCCGACTGTTTCGCAGATTTTGAGTAACTGGCAACATTTTCCCGAACGAACGCTAAAACGAATGAACGAAACGAACTATTATTATCTTGATATTTCGTTCGAAATGTGAGTTTTATGACTTGTGATTAAATTAATGACACACTCAGAACCACGAATGAAAATGTCTAAAATAAAATCATTTGTTTTGAACGTAACATTACCCACGCTTTGCTGCGAGAGCACAAAAGACCTTTTCTGTCCACGCATTATACATTTCACAATCGCATCGAGAATTTCGCGCGTATTTTTATATTCCATTTCGATACACCTTTATTGTACACGTTCAAGATTAAAGTGTCACCTGCCAGTTGTTTATATTTTACTTATTTCGATTTTCTAGCGCGGTACTACTAACATTTAGAAGTTGGATAGGTATACGTAAATTATTGGATTAGTACACAAGATCTCAGCTCAACCGCTATTCTTAGGTTAGACTAGTGTTAATAATTAGGAGTAATGACTGTCGCTTTATCATTACGCCTTCGGGTGCCCTTATTGGTATCGACTGAACCCTTCTGTGCCTACTCTAGGTAGTTACGCTTCGGAGCTATATATCAGATTGACTTTAATTTCTTTTTTCATTGTCGTATAATTTATATTTTTTTAATGTGACGAGAAATAGATTTATTTTTGTGTTTGATGCTACTTTGCTACAAAAACTTATTGTAGGAAAATCTATTTGAGAATTTCTTGTAAATTTTTAGCAATAAATCATATACCGATTTCAGTATTGGAGGAATATATATGGTATAGAGAAAGAAAAAGATGGCACTCTCTATTTTTATCCTGAATGCACATACATATTTTCCGATTCTTCTAATTATTATTTTATTTTTATTGACTATTTTTAAATAGTTTGTTGAAATTTTATTGATAATTTTAATTGCGTTACCTCGTCGTCGGTTAGCGAGTTTATTATTATTTACATTAATGTAATTATTATTTTTCCTTTTAATCTGTGTATATTTTTTTTTGTACAGGCCAAAGAGCTTATCTTTGTAAATAATAGAGGCGCGGCTCGAAAGCTAGCTAGCTGTAATCTTACACCTTCGTTATTGTAATTTTTAAGAGATTTGTTGATGTTCTTGATCTTGTGAAAATAAAAATAATACAAACAAGCGTTTCGTTTAACTTTGTCCCGAATAACTTTGAAGAGTGATTTTGAGTTTGATGTGTGAAAGTACGCTGCGGAAGTGAAATTACATATTGAGTGGACTTTGTGGCGCTCTTGCCATGGTTTCGGCTTCGGCACCGGGGATCCTGGGTGGAGCTTGCCTTAAAAATTTGGGGCTTGCCTTAAAAATGTGGGGCTTGCCTTAAAAATGTGGGGCTTGCCTTAAAAATGTGGAGCTTGCCTTAAAAATTTGGGGCTTGCCTCTAAAAATGTGGGGCTTGCCTTAAAAATGTGGGGCTTGCCTTAAAAATGTGGGGCTTGCCTTAAAAATGTGGGGCTTGCCTTAAAAATGTGGGGCTGTTAAACTATTAATAAATTGCCGCGGGTTACGGGTTCAATTCCGACACTGGACAAATATTTGTGTGACCCAAAGATAATGTTCTGGACCGGGCCGTTTATTTCGACGACGGTGGACATCAGAAAGTCGGCCGGTTGTAAAAAAAAGCCAATAGCATTGACTACATCATCCAGACGTGCCAACCCCACGTAGGTAGGTGGAATGAGGTCAGGAGAAAGAAGAAACTTAAATATCCATTTGCATTATCAGAAACGATCACAAAATTAATGTCAACTGCGATATCAAAATGCCAACTGTTAAAAAAGAGTTTCAATTACATGCGTTTTTAATCCAATATTTAATATGTAACAATTGTCACATTTATCAAAATCATTTCCTAACTCTAATTGTAAAAATAAATATATCATCAATTCCAAAATTAAAATTAATATAGAATAATTAGTATGTATGCGGTATGATACAGAAAGAGCAATTTATAGTTTGCAATCTAGTTACACCAATTGCAGTAATTTTGCGTTGCCTAAGTGCCATATCTACATCTGATTTGTGTATAAGGTGCATTCGGGTATTTACGAAAAGAACGTTTCGAAAAAAGTTCGGATCGCTGCCATGACAGGTCTATAAATACGACCTAATCAGTTTTTCTACCTTGGTCTTATGGCTGGAAACTCGTTGAGGATAGATTAGATTAATTTGAGAATAGTTGACGGTATGTTAGAATTTTCGTTAACCAGTCAGAATTGGTGTAGTTAATGCTATCAACTAAGGTCGCATAGTTTACTTGAATATACATCTTAAAACATTATTCCAATGACTATTATTAATATCCTCAGTATTTTACAATAAAACTATTTCAAAATTAGATTCTTTTTTTGTTGTGTAAGTGCAACTCCGAAGTATGCTAGGGTAACAAAAGGTACATATTTCTTTTTCGTCCTCATTTACCCTTGCAAAACATATTGTTCCTACTATCCCCTGAGTAGTAAATAAAACTTTGATACTTCTTCGTTTTTCACTTTATTTCACATACTTTATCATTTACCATGGTCCATAAAGTTTGGGAACCGTAGACCGAACTTGCACTAAATGTCGAGTAATTCCGAAATATAAATGTCACATAAGTATGTTTAAGCATAACGCCACTTCCACTTTACGCCGGTCTTCTGTTAGGTCGTGGTACTTACCCGGACGGGCCTGCCCATTCGTGCAACAGCCGAGGCTGCTGCGTGGCCCTACTACTTATTATGTTCTGACTGACACAAGACTCTGTCATTCCGGCAAAACAAGATTTTTCCAATTTCTGATAGTTTAATTTTTCTATAGCGCAAATATCTGCACTTAAGATGAAACATTAACATTTGTAGAAAAAAAGAATGGAAAGTTTTTCCGCTACGGGGACAGAACCCGTGACTTCCGGATTCGCGCCCAGATTCTTTAACGACTAAGCTTCATTTTGCCGTTCCCAAAAAATAATAGCGTCTGTTACCTGATAATACCATGTTTTAGTGTCGTCCAGTAAATTCATAGGCGTATATATGAACAGTATGGTCTTGTGCCCACCCCTGGATTTTGGGTTACCGATTCAAAATTCTAGGCTGCCTTCATCGCCAAAAGCAGATTAAAGCCGAGCGAGGCGAGCGAGGTGCAATATAGATATTGAATTTCTCGAATTTTCTTTACTATAATATGCATATATACTACATGTAAACCTTCCACTTGAATAATACCTATTGCTGAAAATCGCATCAAAATTCGTTGCGTTGTTTAACTGTTCCATAGTGTTCGATTTTTTTCTATAGTAAGGGCCCAGGCCCACCCTGAAATATTTTAGCCCTAGATACGCCAATGAGTAAATTGTGGGTGGGTGAAACCCAGTACAGAACGTGGAATCGAATACTCATAGCGTTACGTTTAACAACCAAGCTGATTCAATCACAAAATATAAATGCGAGTTCTATGCCAAACAAATATTTCACAATAAAAAGAGCAAATAAAGAAACGGTAGGACTTTATATTTCCCTAAATGTAATAAGTAACAAATATACAAAGTGACTTATGGTTTGACATTTATTAGTGCTAGACAGCTTGGTCCGCTCTTAAATATAAGTACTCTTTTTAGAGGTAAGTATCACTTGACATTAAAACGTATCTTCTTTGGACCCCACCCTACCTGTAATTTACGGCATATTTTAAGCAAATAAAAGGTTTTAGTGGCTATACATACCCGAGAAAATTATGTATGTACTAAAAACAATGAATATACAATCTTTATTGATCTAATATTTGCAAGATTAAATCTATCTAAAATTACATATTATCTAATAAACCTAATCCACGCGGCATGGTGCCAAGAACGCTAGCTGCATTTCCTCGCTGAATAGTTATGCTTAACCAAATAATATACACCTCATTAAAAAAAAGCATACCACGTCGCGTCGGGGATGTGGTGACACGCTGGAAAAAACGAGGATTGGACTGGCCTAAACTAGAAAGTCGTTTATTGGTAGAGATGTATTTAACTTTTATAATAAAATTGGTGACAAAACAAGCCGAAGTATAAACAATTTTAAACATTTTGTAAAAGCTACTATAAGTAAAGGGCCTATTATAATGTCGTAGCATACATTGAGCACAAGGATGTTTGGAAATGACTTTTGCTCTGCACTTGTTAGGCCCCTGGCCGCTGCCGATTTTATACTTAAATAATCTTGTAAACTTATATTACTAAAAATATATAGGATAATAAGAATTTCTTGCCGGTTCTCCTCTGAACAGATCTAGTTTAGTGCCGGTGGTAGTTTTTTGACGTTCAATAAGAGTTTAAAATAAGTCTATATTTTGATAAGATAAGAAAGAAATTTTCTCTTTGAGTTTGAATGTATATACCAAGAAATGGTCATAATAAATA